GCATTGGATGATACCCACCACTGGGAGATGTGATAAAGGGATTTGTGAGCCAGGGGTTGCACAGAGACCGCAGGGAGGTGTGACTGTCAGGGAGCGATTTTGTTTATGGTGTTCTTGAGGACTCTTCTTGCTTTTTTCTTCTTTGGGGAATTACTTATCAGCTACCATAATTGAAAAGCAACTATCCATGACACTTTTATCGCGGGAGCTGTCTTTAATGTAACATTTGCAGAAGGAGGCTGCCAAAACTAACTGGTCCATACTTTTTGAAGGTAAATGGCTCGAGCGACCATGCGCCCCAGGAACGGTGTTCAACGAGCGGCTGTCTGTTTGCGATCATGCCAGAAACGTTCCAGAATGTGGTGGATATTGAATGTATAATCGAATGTGTTGAAGTGTCCACAATAAAATCCTAGAAGTGCTCATTTCCAGTAATCCTTACGAGATTTTCCCACTGGTTTCTTTGTCTGAGCTGACCAGCTGCCTGTCTTTCTATTCTCTCATCCTTTGTCTACCGTCTCCCACTTAGACAGCAGGCCACACTTTTCCTAACGGTCATCCAATCCTGAGGCTTTATTCAAGGCGTCTTCGACGATTTTGTTCACTTCTGTTCTTCACAGATAGGTTAAATAACATGCACTTATTAACATGATAAATGGATCCCAGGAGCGACGGATCGTTTCTTCCAGTGAAAGTCTGTGAAAAGAGAAGGGTAGTGCACGAGAGCTGCTGATTTCGTTGCTCAACGTGAGGGTGTGCTATGAGTTGATTCTAACTACTTTACAATAGACAAACGCCTCATCGTCTTGGAATGGATCCTGATGCCACTCGTCCATTTCCTCTCTCGCCTCTTTCAAAAAAGGATATAACTCTCCATGGCTGTTCAAGATGAGTACTGTCAGGTCTACTCTCAAATCGGGTGAACAACTCTGGGAGAGAAGTTACCAGCCCATTTTAGCAGTGTCTTTACCATTAAAGTACCCTCTGCTTTGCGCGTGTAAACCCCTCATGATCCAGTCACCGTCCGTGGCTCAATGCACCAGCAGGAAGGTGCAAGTACTCATATCCGTAGAGACTCCGATTTCTTGATGCACTTCATGCTTCCTAAAACGTATGCTAGACACCTGCAAGTAGTTCTGCCTAGCGAATAAACTATGTAGGCCCCTCTATACCTCTTATTGAGCCTAGTGAATGGGTTTCAAGGAGAAAACCCATTGACCCGAAACTCGCTCAAGCAAGGAGCCGTATACGCTAAATGAAGCGTTTGGTCATCTTTGGTGTGTCATGGGATGGTATGCCTGGTGGACGCAGAATTTCGACATCTGTGAACGTTCTATTCGCACCGCTCTCACAAAGCCGCCAGCTCTCCCAACCAAAACGCCCTACGATTACTGAAGGAAATATTCTGCCCGACGTTGGTGTTATCACATCTAGTGGAGGAATTCAGGTTTCGTCTCACTTGTTTGAGGCGCTATCTAAAATTGAAGCGCTAAAGTTTCGTTTTGTTCGGCGCGCTGTTCGACAGCCTCATTATCAACTGCGAGGAAGATAGTTCAGTAGGCACGACCATACTGGTTTCCTCTGGTCACCTAATGATGGCAGTTCCTACGAAAAGAAAAAAGAGGAGCTTCATTCATACTGGGGATGTAGAGATTCCGTTAAAGGGTAGTTAAAGGCAGCGTCCGCGATCAACCAAGGTGAAAAAACCTTGCACTGTACAAGATCGCGGAGTCCGCAACCGCAGAGGATATCCCACTCCTGCGACTCGAAATCGATTGATAGACGAAGGCGGAGTCAACAATGCTAAGCTGACGCCGCCTGTCCTGTTAATCCCGCCCCGACTGGTTAACAGTTATCAATATTCGCTGGCAACGATAATCGCTAAATTCCTAGCGTTTGCTTCGTACACTGATAGAGAGATTAAGTCATAGACAGATCGATTATCAATGCCAGCATAGATTATTCAGATTAAAGATAACCTAGGTAGTGCCTCATGAGAATTAGCCGCAACGAGGAGGCGACGTGTTTTGGAGAACTCACACATAACCTGCGAAACTCGTCCAGATGCCTTGAAGCGAATAGGGTATTATTCCTTGTTCTTGCACCCCTTCTTTCCTACTTTTTTTGATTAATGCTTCATTTGTCACCTGTTCTACACCAACATCTGGCCTCTTAACCTGCCAAAGTCCACGGCCGTCCTGCGGGCGCTGTCTTTTAATTTCCACTACCTTTATGAAGCTCGCTTACAAGTGTGCTAGCATAGGTGGTCGTGTTGCAACACGCGATTAAGACTCACCCCTTCTTGTGAGTTGAGTGCAAATAAATAGGCGCCACCACTTTTTATATGAACAGCAGGTTCCACTACAGTGCGACTGAATACCACATGCGGAAGTTGAGAGAACCAGTGACTAAAATAAGAACCGATGAGACCTCATAGCATTTATAATTTCTCTTATTACTGTGAAAACTATTAGGTGGAGTATTGAGAGAATCGCTCGGCCCTTCTCCGGAGCTTGTCAGTCAAGTTAAAGAAGGACGTCATTGCAAAGCTCAACATGGGGTTTCTTTGCATAATCACGACACGCTCAAATTATGCAGAAGTGCTCAGCAAAGGGTTCCTTAGTGTACCAGCTCACAAAGCGAGCCACAGATCAAGGCTCGAGTTCGAGCAGCGGCGTTGCTTCACCATCCACGACGCACCTTATCTCAGGAAGGATCACTTGCATGCGAGTAAGTTATCTCTGGCTGATGCGCAGTCGTTTGTGTTCAGAGGTCAGAGAGTCGCTATTTACAATCATACAAGGTGAAGATCTAAACGAAGAGAGCATCCAATTGTTAGGAAGTAATTTGAATAGCCTTCCCTCGAGTCGTAAGGCAAATAAGAGAATTGGCTCTGAAAACAGCATATGCGGACTACAGAGGACTCGTGAAGAATTTGCACTTGGTAACGACGTTAGCTGGCAGGACCCAAAAAAATGAAACTATTACTGCGGTTTTCTTTCGTGCAATTCTTTCACGATGATGCCGGCGGTCACTAGCTTCGACACCGTGGCCAGATAACCTTTTACTGTGGGCTGATGGAGGTTAATTTTGAGAATTTTATGCTGATAAGCTTCCTCGCTCAGCATCCATATTATTTTTCCAGCAAGCTTACATATGTACAAATCATTACGCTACTAGAGCCGTCTCCCACAAGACTTCTACACTAAAGGCAAGTCACTGGTATTTTATGTAATGTACCTTTTTTTCAAAATGTTAACACCGCCTTGCCAAGGATGGGGGGGGTTAGAGGATGTATTTATCACCAGCTCAGCAATGACTGGCCGTGAGGAAAAGCGCGCCTGTCAGGGTACAGCATCGTTGTGCGAAACCCATAGGGGGGTCGTACTTGGCCGCTGGGGAGGGGGTCGTAATCTCAAGGGTCACTCAGAGCCGAGCAATGCTTCGACATTTCAGTTGATAGTGGGAGTGGAGCTATGGAAGTCAAGATGTTTAAAAAAAATGAAGTTTATTATGAGTGTATTCTTTACAGCTTTAAATGCTACGTTTAACAGCCCTCTTTTCATGGGAAATCCCCAAGAATGGCGTCGCTTGGCGCCGGGGACGTGGGGAGTATCGCAAAAGTAGGCTCGCTAGGCATCAAACAGTACAAAGGTGTCATTGCTAAGGGTAATGGAACGGACGGAAAGCTTCAGAAGACCCGGATGTAAATAGGAATACAAAATAATAAAAGATTTATTAGCAATATAGCAAGAATAAATAAATAAATAAATAAAAATAAATAAATAAATAAGTGTCAGTTTATAGCATGAACTCGTAAGTACGTAGATGACTAAATAATACGTCTCAAACAGATTCGTGCGTGTTGTCCTTTACAAACCCTAAACAAACATCTGCTTGCATGGATAAAAGCACCTGAAATTAGAATTTACACCTTTCCACCACCTCTCCGTAGGAGCCTAATGCACGGCGCACGGACCAAACCGATTAGTGATAGCCGAGCTCCTCTTCCACTCATTTGAAGGGAAATATGTATTTTGGAGGCACACTGAAAGGTGTATCCTACAATTGTGCATCATAAGATGTCAACTTTTTTGGTAGTGCCGTCCCAGGGAGGTTAGCGCTAAGGTAACCATCCTAAAAATATCTCCTGAACTAGTGGGTCTTCAGAAAAACCGTGAAGCTTGTTGGAAAGAGAAAGGATGGAGGGGTTTCAGGACGTTTTTAATCCTGATGAAATTGCGTTTGAACGAAGCAATCCTCGCGTGAAGCATGGAAACCAGCTCGCGATTTACCCCTAGCCTATCCAAAACCCATCCGGAATATTTCACCAACGGGGGATTGTTCAGTTTGCAACTAGGTAGAATACACAACAGTAGAAACTTTGCCGTTGCATGCTCGCCCTCACCATTCCTCAAAGCTCCGCACCTAAAAAAGATATAACCCCCGAACAGACCCCAGGACGTTGGCAAGTCCAACAACCGCGCTCCAATGACGTTTTTCCAAAGAAAGCGGTCGCAGCCTTGCGCCCTGCAGCCTGATCGATAATAGCCAAGTATGGAACGATTTACTGCCGGCCTGGTTATCCTTTTTTCATTTAGCTCTGCATTTTTTGTATTTTCCATGTTTCGCTTTGTTGTGTCGTGCATGTTTTCATTATTTCCCCGTCACCATTCATTGAATGCACATCTGGGCCCTGACACGCTCACCTTGGGGCTATTTTTTTCACCAATTCAGCCTATCAATGATCACCATTAGCCGCTATTCAATTGTGTTTCTTGTTACAAGTTGCATGTCATACATAGTTATCGAACGAGGAGTTTTATTTTGAATCCTAAGACAAAATTGTAGGTAATGCGAGGCTGTTGTTCAGCCTCATATTGCATGAGGCTGAAACAGCCTTTTATTTCCTGTATTTTAGAGCAGAGTGCGCCTTTTCGAGAATCCAGATTCCATTTCAGGGAAGTCATTCTCGTGGTGGAAACATGCAATCTGGTCTGCACTGAGAGTCAGGAGGGCGGGGGCGGGGTCGTGTCTGGACCCTCTTCGAGGGGGGGGGGTCGTTAGCCACTACCGCGCCACTTCGTTGACACATCCCATGTCTTAGTACCCCTGCGTCGCCTTGCCCGACAGAATCGGCTCGACCCGTTGCCCTACTGAACCAGAGAGCGCTCTAGGTTTCACTTTTCAACATGCCTGATAGTTGATTATTTCTCTGCGTTTTAACGCTCTCCACTTCGAATGAGCGTGAGGTGGTAAGGAGGAATAGTTGGCACCAACAAGTGAGAACTGGTACGAACACGCCTTTCTGCCTTGAGCACGTACGTACGTACAAGCAGGGCTCGCCACGGGCATTACTGAACGTGACGTTTT